TCATAGTACCTCTATGCCATTCTCTCAATTCATTTGAATAATAAATACACTTATGAATATTTTGTAGCCTTAAATTAACAAATATTGCCACATCAAGCTTTTTTTTTCTTTTAAAAGAAAAAACCTTTAGAGATCAAAATGAATAGGATTTATATTATAATCTCATAGTTTCCTACCCTCACATTGGATGCTCCAAAGAAAATAAAGAGAACATAAACCAAGAAAGTAGTGCTTTGTGAATCACAGTGTTATTATGTTTAAGATATTTTCTTGCTTAAAGAACAATGTCAGCTCTTCAAATGTATATACAACTACTGATAAAAATAATGATCACCAATTGTAGGAGGAGGCTAATATTTTAAACAATATTTTATATACATATAACATATATATAATTTACTTAAATGATTATTACTATTATATAAAAATATATATTTTAAGAGCAAAAATCAACCAAAATACAATTGAACTGGAGCCTCAATCTGAACTGTGCTTTATTTGAGAAGAAAATCTGGAGATAGGATTCTGGTTTCCTTTTAGCCACAAGCATATGTTCTGTGGCTCTGGAAGTCCAGTTGCCCAGACAAGAGGATTGGAGGTGATTGCTCTGTATCCATTTAATCAGAAATCACATTAAGGCTTTCTTTGCACCCAGCCCCTCCCACTCAAGTCTTCTAAAAGGTGGGTGCAGTTCAGAGAACGTGATTTGATCGGTCACGTTGAACACTATCCTGGACATATTGACTCAATTTGATTGGATTTCCTTTATTACCCTAAGGTGACAGGAGAATGATAAAATCTATTACTGGACACAATGCTATCCAGAAGAACCATCAAAATCTAACCTAAAGTAAAGGGTGGGGAGCAGGATATCAGAATTTATCTTTTAAGGTAATATTTTACAATACTATTTCCATTTTTTTCTCTTTGTACTTGTTTAAATATAAAAAACACCTCCTAAATCACAAAATGTATTTCCTGCCCAGTTCTAAAAATAAAGCAGCCTAAATACTGCTGTGATTTTTTTCATTAAATTGCTTGTAGAATATAAATACATATGCTAGCTTCAGCCTGACCACCTGGAGTCACAGGCTTATAAATTGTATAAAAGTATATAGTGTTAAGATGTTTACTAAAAATTATTAATAGATTTTCTATGGAGTCACAGGCTTATAAATTGTATAAAAGTATATAGTGTTAAGATGTTTACTAAAAATTAATAGATTTTCTGAGTTATATAATTTAACTTCCCTGTGACTATTTTATAAAAAGTATTACCTCCACTAACAAAATAATATGTTTTGCTTGATAGATTAGTCATGTACTCATACGACTCTACAGGTGTATCGGGCACATTACAACGCAGTTGGTTGCCATGGAAACACTGAGTAGGGTGTGGCCTGAGTGTGGGGGAACTTAATCAAAAACAGTGTCAGTTGACACTTTACTAATTTTGTTCTTCTCAGAATAAAGATGTCAGCTGTCCTTTTCTGCAAGACATTTCATTTAGAAGACTTTCCTGAAATACTTTCTTCCTGAAATAGACAGAACTGTAGGCCGATGTGTCATTTTAGTTAATCAAAACAAGTAGGCAAATTAGTCTCTTTTATTTTTTTAATGAATGTAATTTAACGGTATTTAATTTGCATATAGGAAAGTTCACCCAGGAAAAAAAAGTCTGCATTATAGCACTTTTGTAAACCTCAACAAAGCCCTTCATTAGGAGACTTAATTGATTTTTCCTACCCACTTCTGGGGAAAGAAAGCTATCACAGTACCTGCTTATTCACTCAGAGAAGAAATGGGTGTGCCTGGTGGTTCAAGCAGAGATTTGGGTTAAAAAGTCCTGTGGCTCTGTTCTTTCAGGGAGATCTTGGCCAATACTTGCTTTGAGCATTCAGGAAATCTGTTTTTCTGAGCAATAGGGGAACATCGCTTGTCTGCTTGGTGTCCTCCCCATGGGCCCAATTTAGTTCAGCTTGCAGCCTTCACTAGAATTATTTTATTTCTTGTTTATTTAAACCTGCCTTATTCCAAAGGAGGGATTTTGAGGCTTCTTACAGTGACACACAGAATATATTGTATAAAATAAATGAAAAAGTGAGGGCGGAGATCAGAAAGCCAGGAAAATATGATGAAACCAGGAATAGAGGTCAGTATAGAAAATATATGCCATAGGACCTCTTGTGGTTGTTTGAGTGAGGTCATACATTTGGCTCTGAGTTGCACAGTGGCCAGAGCAAAGAGAGAAAGAAGAGCAGTTATAAGATTTATAATATCCAGAAGTTGAAGCAAAATCAGCCAAGCTGAAGTCCGGCCTTTCCTGTGTTAAAAGCTGACATAATTTTTCCTGTGGGTCCTTGCAGAGATGGGGCTGTGAGATGTGATGAACCAGCCTCTCAAATCATCTCTTCAATAAATATGGCTCTTCTGTACAAGTCCTTACATGCCAGCAGATGGTCAAAGGCCCAAAGCATAAGTCTGAAAAGACAGTTCAAGAGACCTTTCACTGGATTGATTTTCTTCATCAGTAATTCATTTTCTTGCAAAGATTCTCCAAGTTTCTCTCCATCTTTTTCTTTTCACTTCCTCCCAAGTCACTCCCCGCTGCTCATCCCCACCTTCCCTATTAGCATTTAGGAGATTGGGAATAGTTCAACTTGGAAAGTCCCAGAAGACTGGCATTGCCTTCCTCACGACAGAGAGGCTTGCCTTTTAACTCTAGCTCTTTTAAGCAAGTGGGGCATGTCACATCTGGAACAGCCATTACCCACCAGCACCCATAGTTCTGGGCCTTGCTATACTGCTACCCAAATGTACTCTTCACACGTTGCAAAACTGCAGCTCAGGGAATTGAAAGAGCTTGCCTGTGTAAGTCAGCATTTGGTAGTAGAGCCAGGGCAATACCCTCCTCCTGCCTCACACCCTACAGCTCTTCTCTTTTCACTGTGCTGATCCCACGTATGATAAGAAGATCACTGTGTTTGTGGGCCTTTTTTTATTCATTACAATTGACAATCACTGCAGAAGCTTTCTTAACTGTGTCCTAGATGTGAGAGACATCATCACAAGGAATCAGAAGGCTGGTGTGTTTAAGACTCAGAAGATATCAAGCTGGTAAGATACCTTTCTGCATTAAAACACTCCAGTTGAAACTGCTTTTCTTGATACTATGGATGATTATTAAAAATAATAATCGCTAAATTTATTGAGCACTTACTGTGTATTAGGCACTATTCTAATCATTTTATAAGTATTATTTAATGCTCACAAGAGCCCTATAAGGCGGGCAGATGCTCATTTTCTCCAATTAATAGATGAGAAAACTGGAGATAAGTATATTAAACACTGGTTTGGGAATGATTTAAAGGTTGAGATTGTACAATATGAGGTTGGGAGAAGCCAGCCTGGGACCACCTTCTTAAGTGGTTCTATTCCAGTGTTTCCCAACCTGGGGATACTCCCCTCCCCCACCCCACCCCTCGGCACTTTTGCTATTCTCTGGAGACATTTTTTATTGTCATGACTTAAGGGGAGAATGTAGGTCCTGGCATCTAGTGAATAGAAGCCACTAGAGATGCTGCTGAACATCCCACAATACACAGGACAGCCCCCCACCACAAAGTATATGGCCCAATGTGTCAATCATGCCAAGATTGAGAAATCCTGCTCTATTCCATGATTTTAAAATAGTCTAGGTATCCATTTCCTTTTTAGAATTTGTTAATTCTTATCCAAACTGGGAGAAATGCCTGCCCTCAATCAAAACAATGGTGTGTTCTGTGATGCTACATTTTATTTTTGCCCTGTTAGTATTTTCCTTTTTAGAATTTGTTAATTCTTATCCAAACTGGGAGAAATGCCTGCCCTCAATCAAATCAATGGTGTGTTCTGTGATGCTACATTTTATTTTTGCCCTGTTAGTACTGGACTTAGAGAATGAGTAACCATTAGTAGTTTTCACAGAAATATCTGTATTTGTTCATTTTTCCCTTATGCCTTTAACCACAGACTTTATTAGAAGAACAATTCCATTTTCAATTAATTATTTTATTTACTACTGGTACTCTGTCATCATCTGGTTTTTTGAGGATACTTTCTTACCCCAACTAACCACTTCGGAAAAACAAAAGTGGATGAACAGCAACAATCCTTAAAAATCAAAGTTGTCGATATATTGGGATGAGACTACAGAATAGCAATAACTTTTTTCTCTTATATTAGTTGGTGAATATAATGAACTGTCCATATATGTATTTTTAAATCCTGCATTAGAATGTTCAGAGAGGGCCGATGGCACAGGAGGCAGTATGCTCTGTGTTTCTCCCATGAAGGAACAAACCGGTTCTGTTGCCCAGAAAACCTCAGGCATGTCCAGAGAAAGAGAAAGCGTCTGCCCTTCCCTGTGTGTTCTTCATTCCTAGGACAGCCTTTCCTCCTCAGTGCAGACGGCCAGACCCTTCTGGAGAGGGCTTCATTTTTGGACATGATTTTCAACATGGTCTTTTAGTTATCAATCAAAAGCGCATTTTCTATGTTGTCCTCATTTACATTTATTTAATGCTTAAGGTCATTTGTGACCATTTGAGTGTATTTCAGCATATGGAATCGGGAATAATAGATTTCAGCTTCATGCTGTGAAGAGAGATTGTTTTTACAAGACATAATGTTGTTTACTGGGTGTTAATAATCACTAATTAATAAACATATCCAGACTTCTAAAATGTTGCATTTTGAGGAATAAAAATGTCAAGTGTTTAACTTATGGAGTGCAATAGTATTTTCTATCATCTCTTCATAAAATAAAGTTACATAAAGAAACAAAATGTCATTGTTCAACACAGGACATATCTTGAATGTTTAATCTGTGGGCTTTGTTTCTATTTTTCTGTTCTGAAAAAATGCTGTTTCTAACTATATTGTTCTGATATGTACCTGGACATATAGTCTATATGTCAGTAGTCATACAGGAACCTCTAAGATGAGGATTTTTTTTTTCTGTCTTTATCTCATACTAACTGTGGTCAGTTTTTTTTTTTTTTTTTTCATTTAACCACTGCAAGCATTTTGTCCAAAGTCTGCTAAAGCACTTGCCAGAAAACAGGTGGACGAGTCAGTCCTTGAAATGCCTTGGTCTTATATTAAGGAGCTACTTGACCACTTAACCTTCAAGAAGCTAAGAGAAACTGCCAACCAGTGATGCAACAGTCAGCATTTTGCTTCTATTTCTATCCGCTGCTTTCCCACCCATAACCAGTACAATGTGATGAAAGTATTAGTTCCATGAGAGAAGAAATAAAAAGAAACCATTCACAAAAGAGCTAAGATATAGTTCAATATTCATTTTTAGTGCCTCAATGCATATGCAGAATTTCTCCTCCAAATTGGAGGTGTGGGATAACAGTAGCGACAGATAACTAGGAGGTATTTACCATAGCTACAAAGCCCACACGTGAGCCAAATATTTCCGCTATTAAAAAGCACTTCAAAGCTTGACACGAAGTTTGTAACAGCTGAATGTCTCTTGTGACTTCATTTGCAAAAATGTAAAAGCTGAAGGGAAAGTCGTGATACGAGAACTGTAAACTTAAGAAATGGTGTTTTTAAAAAGGAATGAGAAGCCACCCAGAAATCTGACTGGCACCCCAGGCTCCCCTTCCCAGTGCTCTGAGAATGGTCTCAGTAACTATCAGCATTTTTTCCTACGCCTTACACAGGGGCAAATGCAGGTGTGTGGGGTCCAATACTTATCTTGAGGACCGTCTTTAAGAGGATTAATTCGATTATACCTTACTTTAGTAAATTTTACAGAAACATATGATCATGTGAACACGTTACTAGGGCTCCTCAAAAGGGCTTGGAAAGGACCTGTGTGAATGAGGGGCTCTGACACTTAAGCTTCATCAGCTTCACAGTAAATCCACCTTGCTCTCATAAATACCGCCATCCTTGCTTAGAGTAAGGATGGTGCAAGTTGGGTTTTCCTTCCCTTACATTCCAGACTTCCTTGCTCCCTCTGATCCATTTTAATCCCAGTCTGGTTGTCACTAAATATGAAAGACATGTTTGTGAAAGACTGGAAGCATTAGCCCTGGCCAGACCTAGGATCCACATATAGGAAGCATTATATACGTTACATCCCAAAGATCTTAATACAATCTTTGATGGTTCATTTGTTTGTCCATCCATGCAGCCATCCATTCACTTAACAAATATGTCCAAATATATCCTTCGGAAACATAAACATAAAGTTATTGAAAGTAATTCTTGAACAAAGGAAACAGTGCTGCTGAATATAGCTAAAGATGGTTGAAAGAGCAAGGATATTTACAGCATCTCAATTGTTGGGTTTATCTGAAGCTGTCTTCAAAATTGTGACTGACTAACAAAGAACTATTTGGAGCCTTTGATGTCTACATATTTTGAGGTCTTCCAGATTTAGTGAATAACGTCATTCTTTAGATAATACTAGTTAAAAGTTGTAATTTAGAAACAGTCTATTAAATTTACCCTGCTGTGATGTTAAAAGTGAGTTTAAGAGTTTACCTTTGTGTGAAGGTTGCTAGTGAATTTAGGCTTGACTTTTAGTTTTCATTGATAAACGATGAATTTTAGTAAACTAAACTTATGGAACTTTAAGAATTTTTATAATTCCAATTTTACCTTTATATGGGCCCTCAGGATTGGACATTGGTCCCATTGCCCTATTGCCTTTTAAGATTTATGTCTTTTCCTTTAGAGGTTAAATTGGGGATGTGGAAAATGATTTTTAAAATTTACATCCCGATCAAGTGGGATCGAATTGGTACTTTTTCCAGGCCTTCTGCAGTCTGCCCTCACTCTGCACATCCTGTCATCTCCACTGCTCTTTTTGGTCACCTAAGCCTCCTTATTCTCCTCCCAACACTTTCGGTCTTCTTTGTCCCTGATATTTCCCAACCTTGTCGCCGTCGTCTTTGTCCATCTAGATACTTCTAGGATGGCTCCATTACCATTTCCTCCTGCCTTCCCAGACATGTTCAAAGCATGTTGGCTTCGTTTCCATGTTCATTGGTTCATTCATTTGTTGACAAATGTTTTGAGCACCTTTTGTTTGCTAAGGACCATTATAGTGCTGGAGATATAGTGGTGAACAAGACTGAGAAAGTCCCTGCCTTCTTGGAGTTTATAAACATCCAGGGAGAGAGAGAGCTAATTTTCTTGAAAGCAAGGATTCTGCTTACTGTGTTGTTGTATTCTCTGAAGCAATTAGTATGCTTTATTCTTGGTATATGGAAGCTTTTAAAATTTGTATTTGGAGCACATTTTGAAAGACATGAATCCATAAAGCTTATGGAACCAAACAATTTTTAGTAGAAGAAAGTCAAGCTCTAGGGATTCAGACATCAGTTTCCGTATCAGATAGCTGACTTTCATTTCAGGATTGGCTGCTTCTTAGCATGCGCATGTAGAGTCTGTAGACAAACTGACAGTGTGAGTAGGCATTTATCTGTTCTTTGTCAGGTTGAAGAGGAAGGTTAGTAGAAGGTAACTGAGATAAGGAAGTTGAGGGCTCTCTCTAAGAAATTTTCTGATAAAATTCTATATACCTGTTAGTGAGTTTTGCTGGAATTATGGTCACAGAATCTTGAGAACTGCTGAGAATTCTAGAGATGTTACAGACCTGTTTCCTTCTGTTGCTATCTTGGATATGAGAAAATGAAATTACTATGTGTACTTTCTATACGAACATAATGTTGTTGATTTGCTTGACAAGTTTACAGAAGGACTCATGTCCCTCCTGTTTAGTGTTTTGCACTGAAACACCAACTCCCACAGGAATGTTATCCAGTTCCAGATATTTTGATAGAATTCTCCTTTTTGGGGCCGGCCCCGTGGCTGAGTGTGCGGTGCTGTTAGCACCGAGGCTGCGGGTTCAGATCCTATATAGGGATGGGCGGTGTGCTCACTGGCTGAGTGTGGTGCGGACGACACTGTGCCAAGGGTTGCGATCCCCTTACCGGTCACAGAAAAAAAAAAAAAAAAAAAA